TCTCACTTCAAACTACCATCACCCCACTGTATGTCAAATTCGACCCCTTCCACAGTACTCACCTCACCTTTGCTCTACTGTCGACTTCTTCCACAGTACTAACCTCACCTTTTTTCTACCTATTTCTCACTTCAAACTACCATCACCCCACTGTATGTCATATACCTCTGACTTCAAACTACCATCACCCCACTGTATGTCATATTTCACCACTTCCACAGTACTCACCTCGCCTTTTTTCTACCTTCAGTTGACTCTGACCCCACTGTATGTCATATTCGACTAAGGCAGTTGACTTCTCACTTCAAACTACCATCACCTCACTTATGTCATATTCGACCCCTTTCACAGTAATCATCTTACCTTACTGTGTCATATTCGACTACTTCCACAGTACTCACCTCACCTACAGTTGACTTCTCACTTCAAACTACCATGACCCCACTGTACGGTAGTTGACTTCTGACTTCAAAGACAAAAAAGTCTATTGATCGGCAGTTGACTTCTGACTTGCAAAAAGTCTATTGATCGGCAGTTGACTTCTGACTTCAAACTACCATCACCCCACTCTATTACTTTAACGGTACAAGTCTATTAACTGGCAGTTGACTTCTCACTTCAAACTAACAAGTCTATCAACCGGCAGTTGACTTCTGACTTCAAACTACGTCTATCAACCGGCAGTTGACTTCTCACTTCAAACTACCAATCACCCCCGCATTTCATATTCTACTAGTTCCACAGTACTCACCTTTTTTCAACCTTCGTGTCTGTCTGTCTCTTGTACGTCTGTGAATCATTATTCTGTCCCCCTCTCGACTTTTTACCACTTTGGTGTTCCTCTTTCTGTGAAGCACGAAGTCAACTAAAGGGCTAATGATAGCTATCATAACGCCTTCCATTTGAAATAAATAAATTTTAACGAAGACTAATTTCTCTTAAAAGGAATTTTCGATAGGCTTTTAAATTTTTTAAAATACACACTTTCACTTTCATTTAATTTGGTTAGGAATCACAACTCCTAAATTTACCTCGATACTAACTTATTATACTAAATATCTGCGCACCCAAAGTGTGTATATAATTTTACAAATTCGTGAAGTGCATAGATTTGAGTAGACCCGCACGGTCCTCTTTCAAAAAATGCTCCATTGCTACTAGACTCTTAACAGGAGCCGCTATTGCCATTTGAAACATGTTCAACACGTCTATAGCCTTCACCTGTTACTAACATAATTATCAAGTCGGTGGCATCAATCTGCTGTGAGGCACGCGTGACTGGGGTTGGGGGCGTTTTTCAGAAAATAATTAGGGCATTAAAGGGTTAAGGTTTAAGGCCACTTCATAGTTATCCGTTATAAATCGCTAGAGTCAATAGACTAAAATGCTACCATAGTCCAAATCCTCGTGCTCACAGTGTTCAGATTATCAACTAGATCACTAAACAACGGTCCCTTCTCCTATTCTTAATTATAGTATGCACGCTTCCGTAAACTAGTTCACCTTGTCTGAAGAAGAGCGTAAGCATCAAGTGTTATACTATTAGCCCTGAAAACGCATTGACCCGGAGATTTTGCAGGAAGGAGAGGGGACAAATTAATAATCGATATTTCTCAAACGGCAACAAATTTTATAAACTGGCAGTTGACTTTTGACTTCAAACTACCATGATCCCAATGTTTGTCATATTCAACCATTTTCACATCACAGTATTCACATTACCTTTTTTCTCTCCATCTTTCTGTCTGTCTCTTTTACATCTGAGAATCACTCTTCTGTCCCTCCTCCCTGTGAAACCCGAAATTAACTAAAGGACTAATGATAATTCTAATAAAGCCTGCCATTTGATACAAGTATTTCTGCATCGAATGGAAACAGTTGAAACGTGACTTTTTTACGTCAAAGGAATTGAATATATAACACTAAGAATATTTGAAGAAATTTCTAGGGGAATCCTACAATACTACACTATATTACAAAATTTTCAATCACCATATTTTCGCGATGATATCGACTATTGGTTTCAGAATGCTGTATTTGTCTAATGGCACATGGATTCTAAGATGTTCTATCAAATAACCTATTGACCTTCTTCCCAATTGTTAAAAGTGCAGATTTAAGTAGATATTTATTTAATAAAAAACCACTTACCTTCTCATAGTGTTAATGGCCCTCTGCTCATACACTTTATCGGAAATTTTCATCTGCACAGCATACCTTTCCTCCAATTCCACAAACACCCATCTGTCTTCAAATGTGGCCGAAATCAAGAAATCAGATGTCATCCAGATTCCTCTGCTTAGAGAAAACTATTATTTAGCTTTTGGATTCGAATTATCAATTAGAACTAAAGCAACCCGTATCCTTAAATAAATCGATTAGCATTTCAACCTCTAAAAAAATAAACCCTTTCCCAACTTAAACCAAGCATTAGGCAACATAAGAGGTAATTAGGCAAAAGAATGCTCTCGAAAAGTACAGATTTTATTAAGACAAATGACATATTGCGATTATCGTGTTCTTCTTTTTAAAATAAAACACTCCGCTAAATCGACACAACAATAAAACAAACCTGTAAATAATCATACCACAAGGAACGCATCGTCTTGATGATAAAATGAGTAAATGAACCCGAGATCCTTAAAGAGAGGGAAGCCTCCACAAGTAACCAGATCGACGACGTCAAAGAGAGGGCAAGAGACGCGAGTGTACAAGAGACAGAATGAAATGGCGCTGCAAGAATCACTGAGATTTGCCTAAAGAGCCAACAGTTTGCTCACTCTTAACGAAGCTAGGAACTTGTAAGTCAACAGAGGAACTCAATATACCGTATAAACAAATGCTCTAAAATATAGTGAGAGACCGCTATGCAAGCAACTGGAAAATTACGTAGATTGCGAATGGTTGGGTATTGTTAGTCAGAAAAGTATTTGACAAAAAGACTTCTCCATTTAGAGACAACAGGAGACGGTTTACTTAAACTGCGAGAATATCCTTTTCTTCGGACGCCTTGATAGCAGGAAATGAAGAATGGGAGATAGAAGTCAAGTCAAATGCCGAGTGATAGACTTTTTTGCCGTACGAAGATACGTTGTCCAGGGTGCACCACGTGGAGGTAAGTCCATCGCGCACCCCAAAAAAATATGGAACGCTTCACGATTTTGCCTGCCATCCTTGCCTTAATTAAGAGAGAATTCCAGACCTCAAGGTGTAACGAACTTAAAGCTCGAACAAAGGACAGTTGGCACTCTCCGATATAACCGACTGGCCAGGAATCGAAGCCGTTGCCGACTGGCCAAGAATCGAAGCCGTTGCTGAGTTTAACTTTGGCCAAGAATCGAAGCCGTTGCTGAGTTTAGACTACGTACCGGACGGATTGCCTGGCAAAACACCTTCAAAGATTGGGAGTATACACTGGCCTCACAAATTGGGATTATACACTCAACCCACATGCCCTCCATGTAACTAAATTGGGAGTATACACTCAACCCACATGCTTCCTATGTAACCAACAGGAGGAAATGGAGAAGACCCACCTGAATGTAACCTACAGGAGGAAATGGAGAAGACCCACCTGATTTGGTGTCCAGCTCTAAAGACAAGGACGGAAAGCCAAAGATAGGGGAAGCAAGAAGACAGCTAATGAATTGCTGTTAATAACCGCTATAAATGTACCCCCCCCCCCTCTTGGGGAAGCTGAAGTCAAAGATTAAGGTAAGCAAGAAGACTGCTAATGAACTGCTATTAATTAACTGCTTTAAATGTACCCCCCCCCTCTTGGGGGAAGCTGAAGTCAACATATGTACCCCCCACCCTTGGGGGAAGCTGAAGTCAAAGCTATTAAGGGCTAATATGATAGATATCATAAAGCCTGCCATTTGAAATAAATGATGAGGCAGACCCCTGGGGGAAGCTGAAATCAAAGTTTAAGGGCTAATGATAAATATCATTACCCTTGGGGGAAGCTGAAGTCAAAGTATAAGGGCTAATGATAAATATCATAAAGCCTGCCATTTGAAATAAATAAATAAGAATGGGAGATAGCGCGAAAGAAGGGGTGAGTCATCCTCACTAATTGAACTGTGGTGCAATTTACTTCAATACTCAAATAGTACACGGAAAGCCGTTCTCCATTATAAGAGTAAATCATCAGGTACAATCACGTCTCGTCTTCTTGGAGAGTGTGTGGGTGTGGTTGTGAGTAACCGCGACAAAGCAGTTGATGAACCTTATAGAAGCAAGCATTTCCCCCTTAAAATCAGACCTTAATTTCAAATCTATAACAACGACGTAGAAATTGTTTATCAAATGAATCAAGATGTCGTCATTAGACATATTCTCTAGAATGGCCGATACCTGAATCCATGTAACTCCATTAGCCTCCTTCTATATCCTACACCACAAGCTTTCTTCGGTAACTAAGTTATTTACAAAGCCATTTGGCGATTCTGGAGAGATACGTTGCACGTCAGCTGTCCGCCTTCTCCATCATCTATTCTGGGTCGTTGTTGCTTTGTATAGTTAACTGTAGAGTGGAGAATGAGTACGCAATGGAGTAGCCACCACAAAGAGGATGAGGATTGAACCTGGCCATTTGAAAGCAGTGTACAGGACAGATATAAATCTGAAGCTGCAGGGAAATTGAAGTCAGATAAAAGTCTTTCCAACTAAACCCGCTCTGATAAGTTTAAAATTAACATTATAAGTAGAATACAACAAACTGCCAATGATTATTGAGGGAACTTGGATAGTGCATTACTCTGAGAACAAATTGGTCAAAATGAAACAATAGAAAATAATAAGGAGAGGGAGATTCAATAGCCAATCTCTTGTTATCAGCGATCAGCTGCAAGAACTAAACCAAAAGTGAAATGCTTCACAATTTGACAACTTCATTTTGTAAGGGTAGCCACGTTTATTACAATATCAGACGCGTAAAAGTACGATGTAAGATGAAATTTTACAGACGAGCAAAAAAGTTCACAATTTCATCCCTCTCTTTAATAACGTCTTCCCCGACGATCCGGTATATCACGGGAAAGAGGCGAGCGATGGCCATAGTGGAAACGATCTCCCGATTCCATTTCCCCACCAAAAGAGGAAAATGGGAAGGTAGGACAGGGACGTTGTCTATAAGAGGCTAGTGGGGACCTACCACGTCGATAAGGTGGCTGAGGAGAGTTCTCTCGTCTGAAAGGTGGTGGCGGCATGGGCGATGCACGTCTACGATCACGACGATAAGAACCACCCCCATTATCTTTTCTGTCGTCTCGGTATCGATCATAGCTATTGCGTCTGCCGCGACCGACGGGACTACGACTCCTGAAGCGCCGACAAGGGGAAAGTTAAGATTGTTGGAATGCGTTTACGATGGACTAATGCAACGCCAATAAAATTCCTTAAATCAACTCATAACTAGCGAAGTTAGGATCTACACTAATCTCCAAACGAAAGTGTTCTTGTCACTAGAAAAAGATACATGCAGAAGAAGGCAGTATTGACGTAGACAAATGTCATGAGGTCACGGATTCGAGAAATTTCGATAAAAATTGACAAGCGGAGGAATAGTCAAGCATTGTTGTCTTCACCTTGATCACTTTGAAGGGCAATAAGAATATTGCGACCTTCACAGAGGTATTTGATGTAATGAAAACGAAGCCCAGCCCACTGGAATATCGATGGGACTTATTTGAAGTCATCTTGAACATTTAGTAATTCTGTGAAGTTCATTATAAGCAGAAAATCGATAGAAGGAATGCAAAGAAGAGCCGAACGGAGCTGAAAAAATATTCGTGTATTTCTGTAGCAAAGCAGAATAGATTTGGATTGAGCTACAAAGTGAATAGATTAACAGATGACTTTTCTGCAAAATCTGGAGCAATGAAATGAGGCCACCCAGTGATGAAAATAGAGGAAAGCGGAATGCAAGTTAATGCAGGATGTTTCCTTCAGCATTAAATATGAGAAAACCAAGGATAAAACAAAGTTACAGGTGATTTCCGCATAGGATTATGTTGAGGGGAAGTCGCGGATTAGATACTCACTGACAAGCATAAACTAAATCAAGATACCGGGCGGTTAAGCGAGCGCAGGAATGGCAAATTGTGGACTTAACTAAGAATTACTCCCCCCCACCTCCCATGGGGTAGATGGCGCAACATAGGCGATTGTGAAATCAGAATAGATGACCATCCAATTATTGAAATAGGAATCAATAAAGGGGACGCGTAATCCATTCAACGATGCTCTGGGTTGATACTGTTGTGTCCAAATGGGGAAAATATTCATTTTTAAGAGAACAAATACTTAAAAGATGAAAATTGCAAAAAATTAAAACCGGACAATGAAGAGACGACGCAAAGTTTGCGTCATTAAAAGAAAGAATCAAGAAAAGAACTGCCTGCTAGATAGGATCCAGGATACATATCTTCCACAGCTCTTTGTCCATAGAGAACGACGAATAAAAACATGTGAAATTCACAGATAGAAAAACTCTAATGCAAGCAAATTAGGTCGTAAAAAACTCCAAGTGCTTTAATGAAAATGTGCACAAAAAATATGCAGAAGAACGATCTAAAAACAAATACTAACCCCCACTCTAATCTTCCAACGCATAAATAATAACAAAAGGCAAATGACTGAAATAATGCATCAATAAGAACAAGTCATCCTCATAAATCAAGCAATTGGAAGACAGCTTCAAATGGCATAATATAAGCAATAAGTGAAACTTTAAGATTAAACATAAGGAGGAAACCCCGAAAAATACGATAATTAAAGGAAGACGCTAAGGAAAAAGAGACTGAGATTACAGCTGCTAGAAACAGACCAGAAAAATTTGAGCAATTCGAAGTGTTGAATCGGATATGAAAGAAAAAATAAATTTCGAGGTGCGTGAAATCCATTCATAATAATATTTATAAAACGAATTTTAATAACGATTTGAAATTGAGATTAGACGAAAGCCAATGGTCAATTCGGTGGTTGAGATAAAGTCAGCAAGTTAAAATAGAGAGATTACATGGCGTCTCCAACGATTAGATAGAGAATTGCGATTTCATTAACGCGACAAAGAAATCAGTTGAAGCAGAAGTGAATGAAGAGTTTCAAAGCAATAGCATTTGAAGCTAAAATTGGGAAGCTCCAAAATACTAAACAACGCTACACGATAAGCTTTTTTAAATGACAATAAAAGAACCATTTAGAGATACAAAATTTCAGTGTACTCAATAAGTACTTCAAAAACCCTAATAATTACAAATAAGTGACGTGATAGTGATACAGAGAGCTCGTAAGAGGATAAAATGGAGAGAGACAAGACAAAAACATCTCTGGGTGAATTGCATATGATTACCAATTTACCTTGGATGGTAGCCTGGCGAAAGCCTGATTGATTCTCGCCTTGAACCATACAAGCCTCTATTCGAATCGGATATATAAGGAGCGTCAGGATAGACAGGAGGATGGAATGGAAAATTAGTTGAACCAGAAAAAGGCACCGCACTAAATATTTCTGGGGCACGGTGGGAAACATAATCACAGGAGCGATCGTAATAATTAGAAGAGGGAGGCGGTGAGAGTCCACCACGACGAGGGAGGGAGGAACTGCCATATCCACTCAAAGGAGGTGATCTATTATTTCTGGACCTGTGTCGATTGACCGTGGATGCTAAACGAGAAAGTACTTAAGGTAAAAAGAAATCAAAACCGAAGACAAACCTTTCAAATTACCACTCCGAGCAAATTCAACTTTTATTTTTGGACCAAATATTGTTGAACCGTCTAGAGCGCCCATGGCTTTCTCCATGTCGCTGTAACTATCAAATTGAACGAAAGCAAACCCTGGGGGATTTCTAGCAATCCATAAATCCACAATATGACCGAATTTCGAAAGCTCTTTATATATGACTCCTTTATTTAAACCAGCAGGTAAACCCCCAATAAATAGTTTGGACATGTGAACCGGAAAAAACAGAAGCAAAGGACGAACCGCGGAATGTCACAAAGAGCAATCTGGCAACAAAATATAATTAGAAAATTGTTCAAAGGTCATTGTAAATGTATAGCATAGAAAAGCAAGTTCTAAAATAATTTTTTAACATAATGAATGAACATAATTTTGACAATATTTAAAATTTTAAAAAATTTTAGATGTTTCATATTGTGCACAGGAACGGTTAAATATTGTTTGTCCATATTGCAAATACCATTTAATATATTGTTAAAGAGCTAATTTAACTCCTTAAAAGCTTTATTCTCTTGAGTAAATCAAATAAAATCCACAAAGTGACTTCATATGCCAATATGGTATTCGGACTTTCGCTAAATGGACCTTGGAACCGATCATTTAAGTTTGCTTAGACGCAAAATAACAACGTCAAAAACTTTCGTGACTTTTACACTCTAAATAAATTGTTAAAGCAGCTAAATTTTTCATTATGCTAATTTGAGTCGTGTCTAAAACGCTTGTAGCGGATTGCTACGCTAGTAAAGCCTGACTGACTCAGAAATCTCTTTGGCAGATTCTCCAACATCTAGACCGACTCAGAAATCTCCATGGCAGATTCTCAAACATCTAGCTACCGGCTCAGAAATTTCTATGGCAGATTCTCCAACATCTAGCTAGGAATCAGAAATCTCTATGGCAGATTCTCCAACCTCTAGCTAGAGAACAAGCTAAGCTATAGCCCAGCTACAGAGGATACAGACGTGTAGCACGGAACATTTATTCAGTAGCGGAAAACAGACGTGTAGCAAGGAATACGTTTATTCGATACGGGGAAATAGACGTGTAGCAAGGAATACGTTTATTCGATACGTATATTAATAGCGAAGTGCTGAGTTTGGCAAAGCAATTAGTTATCAGATAATTCTAGCATAATTCGTGTGAACCTTAATAGCTGAAATATTTCTGAGTAGGGTTCTATAGCAGGATTTCTATTTGGTCATTGATGATGTGTCCCACACGCTTTAACAACCAAATTAAAATGACATAGGGAAGGAAACATAAAGATATTTTTAAAATAGAATTGATTCAAGATTTTGGAATCCGTAATTTACTTATAACATTCAAATCCGTTTACTTTTCCAACTTATAATAATAAATTGGTTTTTAATGAACTTCATAGATGAAGAACTTTGAGTCACTTTTTCTAAGCGTGTAATGTGGTATTCTTTAAGCATTTCCAAATACAAGCAGAATGCTCCTCCATTTTGTATGAAAAATGGACAGAACAATCACCTAATAATTTTCAAATAGACAAGAAGTCATAAGTATAGCTGATGTTACGCAAGGACACCTGAATTAAATTTTAGCAATCTTTTCATCAAAGCCTAATTTTGAAATCAACATAACAGTTTTTGTAAGTTCTCCTCACATAGTAAACACTTGATTGCTTCACGATAAGTGAAACCTCTATACTTTAGCCTTGATTACGTTGTGCACTTCATGCAAGACATTAAGTCCAAATATTACATTTGTAAAATTGATTGGAATACAGTATTCAGTTACAAAATGGGGATTTCGAAGCAATTAATGCTGCTGAAAATGAAATAAGAAGATTCTGCTGAAGTATTCACTAATATTTTCCATAATCACAGTTAAACATAGAATAAAATCCGAATAGAATTTCATATATTATAGAGAACTGATAAATGTATTAAAATATATAACTTCAACTTATGTAAAACTTTACATACAGTATCTACTTTTTAACTCGGTTGATTAGAACTTTACAATATCTGTCACAATACCAAGTCACATATTGTTTGTACATACCTACACCGTTTCTAGTCACCACACAGAAATATCTATAACTGGGATATTTCGAAAGAATTTTTGATTGGCAAACTAAAAGTGTACATTAAACTTTAGCGGTTTTCGTGGATAAAAGGAATCGACTTGTTTTGTTATTTCTTAAACGTTTTGTTAAGCGTACAGTGGTACTTTCATAAAAATGCATATTCAATGCACAAAGCACAAGGAATATTAGGATTACCTATGTCTTCCACGCAAATTTACTGAGACATTTATCTCAAATCAATTACGTAAGTTATAGCCTAATTCATCTAAATAGGTTAATTAATGAAACCAATATAAATTGATTATTGCTTGAGATATCAATTGGATTAGATGAAATAACAGCTATTCAAGAGAACTTATAAAATTTTTTTAATCTTATACCTGCTATTAATAAAATTAGTTCATATAAAAGCAAACATAATTTTTACATAAGCAATGTGTTTAGTGTGAAGTGTATTACATATTTAAAAATCTTTGTTTTAAATTGCATTGTGCATTCTAGCCATTTTAATAATGGTCCGGACATTGAAATGGTTTAATTTTGTAAATATTTGTAAAACCATTTTTATTGCCCTTATCCAATGTGCCCTTATTTATTGGTATCTCCAGAAAAATATATTCATTGACCAATACAATCATCGACACTACAATTTGTCCAATAATTCTTCATACTTTCCTTTCATCAAGCCTTATGATTATTTCTATCCAGAATCCAACCTCAGTGTGGTTTTAGTATTTGTACATATACAGAAAACAGGCGGAACCTTTGTCGAAAGTGCTTTAACGAAATCAGGTGTGGTTGGTTTTCCCTGTCGGTGTCTAACAAGAAAAGTTTGCAATTGTAATTTCAAGAACAATATATGGCTCTTTTCACGGTAACTTACTATGTTATTTTTAATTCATTTAGATTTTCTGTTGGGTGGAGGTGTGGTTTGCATGCAGACTTTACAGAACTTCAAGAATGTGTACCAGAAATGCTTGGCCGGTTAGAGCATTCCAAAAGATCAAGTGAGTTATCACTGTTTTCATTCATATGCCTTCAAGTTCAGCCAGTTTTAAGTTAGTTATTTTTCATACAAAGGGCGATTAGTGTATTTCACACTGGTCAGGGACTCGATTGACCGATATATTAGCGAATATTTGCATATGAGGCGTAAGCAATCCTTTTGGAATGGGTCGACATTGCGTTGCAAAGGAAAATCGCCTCCTCTTCACAATATCACTTGTGATTTTGCCAATGATGTCACTAATGCCTCTAAATATCTATCATTTTCTCGCTATGTTAATTGTTCGCACAGTCTTTCCAACAATCGACAAACTCGGATGTTAGCATCTCTTGCTGATTTGGACTGCTATACACATTTAAATGAATGGACACAACCAATTCCTTCCAATATTTCTATTTCTTCTCATCAAGTCGACCTCCTTCTTTCTGCGGTCGACAATCTTGCCACCAAAATGGCGACTTTCGGAATAATTGAGCATTCGGTTTACACCCAGTATATGTACAGAATGATTCTAGGTTTAATATTCAGGGTTCCCTTTGTGAATAAATCGAACGATTCATGGACAGCAGAGGCTTATAAAATCCCGGGATATTTACCTGAAAATTGGGAAAGTTTATCTGAAGATAGGAACCGATTGGATAAAGCATTTATTTCATTTGCTCGGGTTTTGTTTTCCCGAAGATTGGCAGCACGCTTGAGAGCTGAATCATCTCTGCCTGTTAGGTGGAGGCTTCAACTGCGTCGAATTGACTCGAATCTACTGATCTCGGATGTATACTTGGAGAGTGTTATGTCTCGATATCTCACTCGACTCTTGCAAACTGAAACTAAACGTCGATTAAGACTTGAAAACACGCATTCTCTTTCTCCCATACCTCCGTCATGACCCCGTGCTTTTCTCCTTTTGTATTTATCTATTTATTTATTGAATGATAAACGAAGAGTCTTGCGAATTTTTCTAGTGGCGGTGGAATATGCTTGAGTAAGTTTATAAACGACTCTTCCTTTTATTTAAGGTCTTCTGATCATTTTTATCTAACTGCAGTGGACATAGTTGCCTAAGTGCAATTCTAGGTGCTACTTTACCTAGTGACCTTACGTCAGTCCTTGGAAGCTCTATTATCTAGATCCTAATCTTTGTCTGGATTTATATTTTTTGTTTAAGAATATGGGAAAACGCTACCCTCTTATTGATTGTCTTTTCAACTGCCAATAGGCAGCAAAAGAATTTTTTGGGAAGGGAGAAGTGAAATTAATGCTCCGTTAAGTTGCGACTAGTGTCATCGTATCTTGTAAATTTTCGGTGTCATTTTTGCATTCTTTAGCGATTGATCGACAGTTGATGAAATCAACGCTTTTCAAGAGCGGAAATGAGATTCATTTACAATTATGCTTTTCAATTTCAACTGATATCTGAAGTAACCGTAATTAGCCCAGATGGACTGGCTGCGACACTCTTATTTATCGTTAAACAATCGTTATTTGAAATGTGGATCAGTCACTAGCTCGTTATCTTATAAGTCCATAATGTTCTATCTTTACTGGAAAGAAAATGAATAAATAATAATTGCTTAGGTGTGGACTTATGGTAGCAATAGTGCCGGCTACTCCTAATTAGCAACCGCTATGTGGTAATATTATGCACTTATTACGGTATTGGGCAACTATTAGAGACTAAAGTAGATGTGTGCGAGGTTATACTTATTCGTCATAGATCTTGAATTCCCCGTTTAGTAAGCGAAATTGTTTAAAACCTTTTTGGTTCAGCTTAAATGCCATCGGAGATCGTAATTATTGTATAGTTATTAAAAATATTCAAAATTGTCTTCGCGGGGTTATTCACTGTGGTTACACTGTCTCAAGAAGATAGCTGTTGCTCCCTAGATATTTCCATATTTAAGGAAATAAATTCTCTATTTAGGTTTTACTACTTAGAGATTGGTTTTTCTAATGGTTAGACAATGATTGCTGTAGTGGTGAGTTTGTAATACCAAATACAAGCACTAGAGCCAAATAATCGATAAATCAATACAAGCATTCGATTCGGCCTCAGCAATAATAAGAACACCTTTTTTCTAGATTAGGGTTTCAGAATTCTTTTATGTCTTCGAAGCAAATTAAGTCACATATCATGCTTGAAAATTAGTAGAGTGTATATAATTGTGAAAATTGTATCCTATTACTATTCTTTTTATCAGCATTAGCCAATTGGGGTTGTCATCACAAGGTCTTGATTTCGTGATATCTGAAAGCCCTGGAAAATTCGGCAACGCATTTGTATTTGTGAGGAGGTGTTATTTGGCGTTTTTTTATTTTTTTCGCTTCAATAAACCTTTATTGTATTTCTGAGGTGGCTAGACCTATCCCAGAACAGCCTAGTTTCCACCGGATCCGTTTCACGCAAGTAGACATCTATATTTCAATGTTTTTTTGGCTATTTTACTGCCTCTGCCAATTTTTGCCGTTATGAATAGCTATGAAGCCTTAACAAATCTTTTCTGTGCCCTCGAGTGTAGCTCACTAGCTTAATCTTTCATGCACTAGATTAGGGTTTGTTAGATTTCTGCGCTCATACCTGGGTATATAAGGTCACTAACTTGAACAACTCACTGCTGCAATTATCGGCTAACCGGACAATCATTCCTAATTCGTGTGCAAGTAAGTCTGGTTGTTAAGTTTCAGATGTTCCTTCCCCCCCCCCCCCCCCCCCCCCCCCCCCCCACCTCTTTCTGAGTGTGGGTGGTTTGTAGATGTAGTTAAAGTAATCAAACCTTATAAAACAGATAAATCTTCCTTCAACTGTGCGCTCATCTTCCTTTTTACAATTCCTATAGTACACCATTCTGGTCTTTTATACACCTCTTTTTACTTACTTTTCATCTCCTGTCATAAGTGTTAATATGAAGACCTAAGAACGAATCCTTTTTACAGAATTGTTGCAAATTTCTTAAATCAGGGCACGGGTTTACATTACAGTAACACAGAAGTAGCCTTACCCCTTCTTGAAACAAGTTTGGTCGTTGTGTGCAATAGCAAAACGAGCTTCTTTGTGTGTACCGTTCTTCCTCTAGCTGAATCGATCGCCTAAATTAGAAAAAATGGAACTTGCATAGACATTTGTCCGCAACTGTGAAAGTCTGGAATTCACGTTTCGACCGCTTGCTTCTTGTTGAATTATACTTTTTATTGAATTATTTGCGATATGTGTGTGTGTGAGAGAGTGATAAATTAACCGACATTATCATTGGCTCATATGTTTAATTAAATATCTACCCAGGTGAATCGTTTTGCGAAAACTTTCACTTTATTTGTGGTATTCGAATATATTGATTAAATTTCGTGGAATTCGGAAAATGATTACACATTTTCCCTTCTCTTATCTCTGCTGTCCTCCAAATTCATTTTCCTATTCGGTAGAGGGGGGGGGGAGGGGGTAACCGAAACAGTGATCTTTACTGACGGCCAATCAGCTCACTGGGTACGCATTAATGTGGTTACCCAGTCCCAGTCACTGGAACTAGTGCTTTAGAAACTGATTACTTAATTAAAATGGGAGGGTATTTGTTTATCTTTTAGACAAATCATGAATTTTATTTGGTAGGACATTCTGCATTCAATACCGAGTAACAGTCGATAAAATCTACTCGCTGCCGCTGTGGTATTGCAGGCGGTTCATTATGGAGGCTCAGACCCATTAGGAGGGCAGAAAAACTCAAATAATACTTTCATCACCAATTTATAATAATAAATTTGAATTTGCTTAGTTGTTCTAATTTTTATTTAGTTACTTACAGTAAAAGAAGAAATAATAATTTCGAATAGGCAGCGGGACACAATAGATCCGCTTTTGAAGGAGAAATAGAGGCCATTAGGATAGCACTATGCCAATTATGTTGCCTGGATACGAAATTCACCAAAGCGGTGATACTTTCGGACTCACAGTCAGTAATAAACTCAATTGGAAACAAAGCCACCCGAAACAGCTGAGATAAAGGAATGTAGAAAACTCTATGAGCTGCTGAGAGAGAATAACAAAACAGTGGTCCTACAATTGATTCCTGGTCACTGTGGCATTAAAGGCAATGAGCTTGCTGACACAGTTGCTAAGAAGGGGACAACAATATTGCAATGCATGGACCGGCCGATGTCTTTTCACACAATGAAGGCCTTAATCAGA